AGGACGCTGATGATGTTGATAATGATGACGATGGTGGTGATCATGATGAAGGTGATGATGATGATGATGGTCATTGTGATGGTGATGATAATGATGATGATGATGATGGTGGTGATGATGATGATATTGATACTGATAGTGATAGTGATACTGATACTGATACTGAACGTGATGATGATGATGATGATGATGATGGTGATGGTGGTGGTGGTGGTAGGTATGATGGTGATGATGATGCTGCTGCTGATGATGATGCTGATGCTGATGCTGATGCTGATGATGATGATTATGATGATGATGATGATGATGATGATGGTGATGATGGTGATGGTGATGGTGATGATGATGATGATGATGATGCTGATGATGATGATGATGATGATGATGATGATGATGATGATGATGGTGATGCACCTTCAGTGGCGCGAGCGTCGGCATCGCTTCGCCCCGATGGCCGCGCAGCCCACACCTGCAGCAGGGGTGGCTGCCGCGCGACCGACATACCGTAGCTGCACGAGCGAATCTCAACGCAGCAACGGCGACGAGGGAACGCCCAAGACGCCACGACAGGCGAGCCGTCCCCGTTGACCCCTGCTGTCAGAGGCCAGAAGGTGTCAGGACAGGCCGATCACCCATCCGCTCAGGCCCTTGGGCCAGGCGGTCAAGCACCTTCGCACGCCAACGGCCACACGTGGCCGCTGCAGCCAGGATTCGGAGCGGACAGGTGGTAGCCAACACAACTTCGCGAAGTAACCGGGTATACGGTGCTTGGACCACACCGCCTGGGGACAGGGTATATGGAACAGGCCCACGATGCGAGTAGGCCTCAGCAGCAGGCTCATGCCTCAGGCTCGCGGCCCGCCAGCCCCCGCCTCAGGCTCTCCGAGCCTGCCTGCGACGGGTGAATCCCACGCTGCAGGCGGCGGAGGGCGTCGCGCTGCCTGTCCACCGCGTGGCGTGGACAAGGCTCATTCAGATTCATGGGCCGAGCCAACGCCGCGTGGTGGCCGCACACAGCGCAGAACACCCGCGGCCCCACAGCGTAGAGCACGTGCGAGGGGTGGACCGGCGCGTTCCACCAGTCATGCCTCCAGGCCGCGCCCGCAGCGCAGTCCTCCCCCGCGGGTCCAGGCAGCAGGCTGCGCCGCTGCTGGCCGGTCTCCTCGGCCCCAGCCTCGAGCTCGGCGTTCGGCCGTGTGGCTCGCCCGCGGCAGGGGCTGCACCGTCCGCGGGGCCACCTTCGGGCGCGCCAGCAGCGCCCGCCTGGCCCTCGGCCTGGGTCGCGAGCGCCACGCCGACCAACAGCCGCCACGATGGCCGCTGCTGCGCTCGAGCCCCCCGCGCGTCCGTCACCACCGCTGGCCCCAGCCGCTCCAGCTTCTCACGCCGCGGTCTCCTTCGCCGCTGCTCGGCCCCCCTGGAGCTCCAGTGCAGCGTCGGCGCACCTCCTGCAGCTCTAGCGCACCGCACCACCGATGGCGAGGGCAGTGCAATGAGCGTCGCACTCTCGCCGAGGGCATGCCACGGCGCCACGCCCTGCACCCCGCAATCGGCCAAGGGCCTCCTGCACCCTGGTCAGGCACAGCGGATGGCCCCCAGGCCCGGTGCCTCGTGGCCGTCGGGGGCTTCTGGGAGGGAATCGCCCCCCCCCCCCCGCTTGCATGCATGGCCAGGCCGATCCAGACCGACAGCTCCTTGGCCAGGTCCTCGGTAAGGTCGATGCGGTGCATCCTCTCCTGTGGCACCTCATGGAGGCGAGAAGCTGCATGGTCATGAGATCAAGTGAGGTTTAAAGCGATACTTCCGTAACTCATGACAAGAAGGAGCCGCCCTCAACCCATGTGGCATTTAGAGCCAAACTCTAGCACTCAAAACATCAAAGGGATCGTTAAGCTTGAGCCCGAGTTGATGATTATCTATCTTGAATGTGAGTCACTTGTTGACATTACAAGCTTGTCGATAACAGAACGTGATGACCTATTCCGTGTCAGTCACGTCCTGATGCCATATTCAGTGAGGGTTGCATGTGAGGATTTTGTCCGCCTTCTATTGTTGCACCTGTTGAGAAGCTCAGGTTTCATGATGATCAGATGTGAGAAAGTCTCAGGTGATAGCCGCACTCGGGTTAAAGCAAGTCCACGTGTTCAGATCGAACCGCGTCCCTTAGAGTCACATGTCTAAGCATAAGCGCTTCCATCCGTGTATCTCTGGTGGGAGTGGGAGGGGCGTAGAGCTGCAGGAAGAGGAGGATCTTGGAGGCAAAGGAGGAGGTGGGAGACCAGACGTGGGCTCAAGAACGAGTGAAGGAGGCATGGGGGTGAGGAGAAGGCAGCACGCACGACAGCAGCAGGAGCGACGAAGGAGGAGATTGGCTGGGCGATGTGCCCGGAGCCCGACGCCATGACGACCTTCGCGCCGTGGGCCCCCACCCAAACATCGCGGCCCGCATCCTAGGGACGGGACTGCCACCCCGCGGCCGCTCTCCTGGAGGCCCAGCGAAAGCCTGGGCAGAAGGCCCAGCCACCCGGACGCGTGTCTGCTGCGTGACGCCGCCGGCCCGGGGCGCCATCGCATCGAGATCGTCCCCGAGACCAGTCCTCGCGCCGGCTGCGGCAGAGCGCCCTCGATCCTGCCGATCCTCCAACCTGCCCGCTCCTCGATCATCGATGCTCTCGAGCCTCATCGACCCCACTGGACGAGGGCGTTCTCGATCCTCGCGAGCCTGTCCGCTCCCATGGGCATGGCGTCCTGGCCGGGCGTTCCAAAGCGAAGTCCAGAAGGCGACGAGGGCGCGCCAGAGGACCCGAGGAGGCAGGTCAAGAGAAGATAGGGAGAGACATACATATATATACACATACATACATACATACATACATCCATCCATCCATCCATCCATACATACATACATACACATACATACATACATACATACATCCATCCATCCATCCATCCATCCATCCATACATACATACATACATTCATACATACATACATGCACCCATACAGACATACACACATACGTATACACATACACATACACATACACACATACACACATACACATCTGCTGCTCTCTGCCTTGCCTTTCTGCTGCTGTTTCCCTTCCCGTTTGTCCTCCTCGCTCCTCCTTGCTGCTTGCCGTCCTCTTTCTGCTCGTGCTGCTGCTGTCCACCGCGTGGCGTTGCGCTTCTCTCATGGCACCACAGCCGTCGCAGAGTGCAGGATGGGCGCGGAAATCTGCTGTCCACTCCAGTATGTTCGGCAAGGTGCGCCCTGGGAACCGCGTTTTTGTTTCTAGCCGCAGACTGCTTGCCCGCCCGGCCGTAGCACTGATTCGAGACAGGCGGGTTGTTGTTCATCGGTTATTCGCGGCCCTTCTCCTTTCCCTGTCCCCCTCTCTCTCTCTCTCTCTCTCTCTCCCAAAAAACATACACACATACACATACACATACACATACACACATACACCTACACATACACATACACATACACATACACATACACATACACATACACATACATGCACACATACGCACATACATGTATATGCACACGCATACATACATACATACATACACACATGCATGCATACAAACATATAGACATACACACATATACACATATACACATACAGACATACATACATACATTCATACATGCATACATACATTCACATGCATGCATGCATGCATGCGTACATACAGGCACCGATATGTACATACATGCATGCATGCGTGCATACATACATACATGCATGCGCACATACACACATGCATACACACTCATACATGCATTCATACATGCATGCATACATACATGAATGCATGCATACATACACACATACACACATGCATACCTACATACAGGTCCACATACACATTCACACGTGCATGCATACATGCAGTCATGCATCTGTTCATACAAACATAGTGCATACATGCATGTACATATATATATATATGCACGATACACACATAGATACATACGTATACACATACATACAACCATGCATGCATGCATACATACATACGTACCTACTTCCATATATATATATATATATATATATATGCATACATACATCCATACATGCATACATACAGGCATACATGCAAACAAACATACATATATATATATCTACAGACATGCAACCATGTGTATACATGCATATACATATGCATATACATATACATGTATACATCTACATAACCATGTACATATGCATATACATATACATATGAAAATCTGGATACGTATACATATACATGCTTTTATGTGTTACCTGCTGTTTCCCTGCCGTCCCTCCCCGATTGAAGATGATGGTTTTTCCATGGGGTCATCTTCCATCTTCCAGTTCTCTCTGGCAAGTCTTCACTGCAGGCTTGACGTGATCTCGCTCTCCGGAGACCCGCCGACTCCCCGGTGGGTCATCACCCAGTCTTCTCTCTCGTCGTCCCCTCACCCACCCAGCTTTGTTTTTGCCGGGCGGGCGGGCGGGGCAAAAACTCCTGGAGCTGGGCGGCGCAGTGCTCCCCTGCCCCCCAGCCCTCGATCCGAACGGTTACGGACGACTTTGGTTGTGCACCTCTGTGACACCTCTTGCTGACCAAGCCTGGATGATACAAGTACCCGCACAGCGTATCCGAGTCCGGGGCAAACGCCTTCCCAAGGCGCGCGTCGAACACTGCTTGCGGCCCAAATCCCCAAACACTGCACCAGCCTGAATGGCTGTCCGGCCGCGCGCGGTGGATACAAGTATCTCCAGAGGTGCATCCGAATCCGGGGCAAGCGCCTTCCCGAGGCGCTCATCGAAACTGTTTGTGGCCCAAATCAATAAACAGCGCAGCACCCTCTCTCGACGGACGGGCAGGGCATGCGTGCACTTGCGCACGCATGTTCGCAGGATGCCATAAAACACAATATGCTTCGCATATGAAGTGCTTATGTGTTACCTGCTGTTTCCCTGCCGTCCCTCCCCGATTGAAGATGATGGTTTTTCCATGGGGTCATCTTCCATCTTCCAGTTCTCTCTGGCAAGTCTTCACTGCAGGCTTGACGTGATCTCGCTCTCTGGAGACCCGCCGACTCCCCCTGCATTCAACCGTCTCCGCACGAGTCTCCCAACGAAGCTCGGCGGCTGCACTCGCCGCACCCGGGCTCCCAGGGCGCTGGGGAGAGAGTCGAATTTGCCCCGGCTCGGCCCGTCGGAGCAATTGCTCGCTGACGGCACTCGGCTGAAATACGTGCGGCTTCCAGCATGCTCCTCGGCCCGCCAATACTCGCCCAAAAGCCACACGCTTGCCGGCGACGGGCTGTATCCTTTGATCAAGCCGAAGCGGGCGCTGTCGTTATCAACGAAGCCCAGCACGCTCCTCCCTGGATGCTGCTCGAAGACTCCGGCCCACTTGATCCTCGCCGCCACCATGGGCAAGATCTCGAGCTGGCCGATCAGCTGTTCGTGCCCTGTCTCGCGAGCCAGGTGCTCCATCAGGACACGCGGGACGTCGCACCCGAAGGCCTCCGCCAACTTCGACACGGGGTCGACCAGCACTGCCCCGATGCTCCCGCGAACCACTCCGTTTTCCAGTTCGCAAGCACCGTCCGTGAACAGGACCAGCGGGGGCGGGGCCCCGAAGAGGCGCACGCGGCGCGGCTTGGCAGCAGCCAAATACTCCAGCCACCACCGGAGAACCTCGTCGAGCACGCCGTCCACCCCTCTCCCCGGGGCCTTGCCGTCTGCTCTCCTCCGAAGGTGCCACAGCCCGGCCGCGCCGCAGCGGCCGAAGATCTGCGACGACGCAAACTGCAGCTTGCCCACGAGTCGCGCCGCCTCCGCCGCAGGAAGGCTGCGTGTCCGCAGGACGCCCTGGATGAGCTCCGCGAGGGACTCTCTCCTCTGGGCGGTGTTCGACACGACGAGCTCGCCGCGCGCCATCGCCTGGCTGAGGTCGAAGAGCACTCCCAAGGCCGGGAAACGCCCGTCAAAGGCATGGTCCTTTGCCTCTTTCAGCCGGAAGCCCGCCACGCCAGCGCACGCCCGGAAAGCTTCCTCCATCCACTCGGAGATGACCTTCGGCACCACAAGCGGGAAGTCATCGAGGTAGTTGGTGATCGGGACGCTGTAGGCCCTGATGGCGCAAATCTTGAGGGCAGCCGCAGCTCGACTGAACCCCAACACCGAGGCCCGGGCTCCAAAGGGCAGGGCGTGCGCAATGAAATACAGCATCTCCCCTGGGCTCTCGGGGTCCGCGCACGCAATCACAGCGCAGTCGGAGTCGGCAGGCGCAACAGCCAACTGCTTGTACGCCTCCTCCAGGTCGAAGCACTTTCCGACCAAGGCGTCGTCTTTCCACTGGCGGCGCCCTCGCAACACTTGGCCCGACTGCAAGGTCCAAGTCATCTCCTCTGGCCCAGCCATGAGGCGCGCCCAAAGCTTGACGACCGAAGCCACCCCGTCGACACCCTCCCAGGAGATCTTGTCCCTGATGGTGGCGGCGCCGTTCACGAAGGACGCCGTGAAGTCGTCGATGGGGCGCACCTTGTCGCCCTGGACCACGCCGAAGCGGCGGCTCGGGACCCACCGGGGGCCCAGGATCGCATCCAGTTGGCTGGGGGAGAACGGCCCGCTGGCGAGGCCCCGCTGCACCTCGGCGCGGGTCTTTTTCAGCACCTCCGCGTCGATCCAGCTGTCGGCAGTGCGGCGCTGGCTCGCGGCCGACGCCTCGAGGGAGGCCCGGACCGCCGGCGCCTGCTCCCAGAGCCACTTCTTTGGCCGACCCTCCTCGACCTTGTCCGGGGGCTTGGGGGGAAACGCCCCGCAGCAGCCGAAGTCCCCGACAAGCCTGAAGCCGGTCGCCATGTCCTTCGCGACGCCCGCGTCGACGTGGCCTACGGACAGGAGCATCTTCTTGAAGACCAACACATTCTTGTCGCCCAACACGCCCTTCACCCTGGGGTGCATCTCCCCGTGCAGGCGGCGCTCGGCATCACGAAGAGATACTGCTTGATTATTCCAGTGCTCCTTCGTCGATTCGAGCTTCGCCTTGATGTCAACCAGCGGCGTGGTCAGCAGGTCGAAGACGGCCGTGGCCACGTTGTCGTCTACGGCGGGGGGCGCGTCGAACGGGTGCTTTGCGAGCAGGGCAAGGTCCAAGAACTCCTGGGGCGTCCAGGGAACGCCAAAGTTCAGCCCGCCACACCCCCCCGTCTCGGGCTCCGCTGAACGGAAGGGAATGGACCCAGCAGGCACGACGGCGCCATCGTGGAGCTGCACTGCATGGGCGATGGGCTCGCGTATTTTCACATCGTCCTCGGTGAGCCTGCTGGCAGGGATGACCGTCTTGAACTCTGGGACAAGATTGTGGCCGAGTTTGGACCTCTGGCGGCCCACAGCCACCCAGGGTGGATGAACAGGCAGACTGTGAGCGGCCGTGTCCGGGCTTGGGATCACGCGCTGCTCGTGGTCCATGGACTCCTCCTTGGCTAGCAGCGCCTCCTTGTACGCGTCAGCAAGGTGACCCAAGTCCTCGTCGAACGCGTTTGCGACGACGCTGCACATGGTCTCGGGGTACTCGCACTCCGCGACCGACGCCGTGCCCCAGCGGCTGCGAAAGCATGCGCCCCAGGAGCTGTGGGCGTGACTTTTGTCGCAGGTCAGACACATGGCGTCGGCCAGCCATCTTGAGCTGGTGAGGAGCTTGGTGCTCTTGTCACGCGTCCCGCCGTACATGCATTGCTGGAAGCTCACGTCGTGGACGCCCGGCAGCGCCGCCAGTCTCTCCAGAGCTGGGTGTTTCCAGATCCAGCTGCGGGCGGGGCTCTCGACGGCCCACAATTTGCCGTCCCCGTGCAGCGTCGTGGCGGACTCGGCCGTCACCTCCGCAAGCTGGTTGTCGTTCGTGACCTTGGCGGCCTCCACTGCGGACAGACCAGGGATTCCAAGCGGATTGCAGTCGTCGCGGAGAGGTCGCGGGGCAGGGCCGCTCTCCGTCCGTAGCTGCGCAGGGATAGGGTTTTTCCTGGCTCGGCAGAAAGTCTCGCCCGGCGGCGCAAACCAGGCAGCCTCGACGTGCGGGTCGCCGAGGATGTGGCGGAGCCTCTCGCGACCAGCGCCGGTCGTAAGATCCAGCTTGATAATGGGCGCTGCCGGGCGGTGCCGGTTGCCTGCCCAATCAATGGCAAGAGTCTTGTACCCCTTCTGCACCATCTCATTCGAGAGTTTGGCGCTGCCCGCGAACACCTCCACGAATCGGAACCCGCTCTTGATCCGATCTCTGTCCGCGACAGACGCGGGACTGCCTGTTGTGCCAGAAACAGCGGCGCCTCCACGGCACTCCACGCCGCCGACGCTGTCAGCCCAGGCTGAATATGCATCAATCAACACGTCGGCATGACAACTGCACGAGGTCGCACAGTGGCACACCAAAAGCTTGCCCCCGAGTTCCGGCAGGCGCTTCATCATCTCGTCGTCCGTGTACAGGTACTGTGAAAATTGGTCGATGGCCGCCTCGCGCGGCATCTCCTTGGAGATCTTGAACGGATTGGCCCAGAAGGAGCGATTGGCCGACAATCGGCTGCAGCCCCGGCCGACGTAGAGGTCGCCCGGCCCAAGAGCCGCAACTTCACTCGCGCATCCCCGGGTGGGCAACGGGGGTGCGCACGGCCCAGCGCCCTCTGGGGGCGCCGGAGGGCCCGCCAGGGGCCCTCACATGGAACAGTCCGAGATCGGGTGCTCGCCGTGGCACCCCTTCTTGCAGCAGACGTGCACGCCGCGGGGGCACCTCCCGTTGCGCACCTGCTCTCGGCAGCGCCCGCTGTTGTACCCGTAGCAGATGGGTGTCCGGCCGTCTGGGAGCATGGGGACTCCGCCTTGGTCGAGGAGCTCCTTCGGCATGGCGGGCGTCCACTTTTTGTTCCTGTCCTTGCCCTTGCGGGGCTCCGCGGCCGGCGGCGGTGGCGGCTGGAAGGCGCCGCCCTTCCCGCCCTTCCTGCGTTTCTGCGCGTTGTCGCCGCCCTGGTCGTGGCCGCGCCCTGTTCCGGCCCCGGCTGCCTCTGCCTTGCGCTTGCTGCCCGCGCCCGCCTTGGCAAGGGGCATGAGCAGCATGTTCACCTCCACGGAGTCAAGGATCTTCTGGATGTAGCTGTCTGTCGGCAACTGGTCCCGGACGGTTGCCGGCCTGACTCCGCTGGCGCAGAGCCTCGACATCTTCTTCCACACTTCCTTGTCTGCCGTGCGGAGGGTGTCCAGCGTCGGCGGCTCGCACCTGTCGTCGGGGACCTCCCGCGTCAGCGCCGCGAGCAACTTGTTGCGCAGCAGCTCGTGGCCCTCGAAAGTCATGAGCCCGGCCACTTCCATGGCCAGACCCCTCCGCTGGAGCGCCCACGACACCTTGAGGGCGGAGCTGACGTCGGCCATGATGGTGTCCTTGACGATGTTTTCGCGCACTGTGCTAGAAGCATCCGGAAGCCACTTCTTCCTCCCGGGCTGCGCCGTGAGCTCTTGGTCACGCTTGGACGCCTCCTCCCAAGGCACCCACTGCAAGGTGTTGTCCTCCACCATCTGGACGAAGCGATCCACGAGCACGTTCGACGGGTCAAGCTCGCCCTCCATCTTCAGGCCGGGGTCCAAGCGCTTCCGCAGCACCTCCTTTCTCGCCTCGCGCTCCGCCTGCGGGACCTTGCGCGGGGCGTCCTGGTCCGTGCGCTCCGTCCTATGCCGCAGCTCGGACACGGAGAGCGCGTGGCTCTCGAAGAAGAGCCTCCGCACGGCCGCTGTTTTCGGCGGCAGCGGGTCCTGGGGGCCGAGCTGGAAGAGCGGCCTGACGATGGCTGTGGCGAAGCGCTCGTCGTCAACAACGCCGCCAGGCCCGCTGGCCATTGCAAACGCGAAGTTGCCATGGGAGGCCCACCCGAGGTCGACGAAACGCTGGAAGGTGTCGCCCAGCGCGAGCTCGACGAGCCTCTGCTGAAACACGGCCTGGGAGTCCACGACGCCGTGCTGCATGGCGGACGCGACGGACAGAGGCAGAGGCGGAGTTGCGCGAGCAAGCCGGAAGGCTTGAGGCTGGTAT